TTGATATCTTCAATTGGGCATAATATTTTTTTAATTAGAAACTATGATCTCAATAGCCGAAAATTGACTGAATTAAAAAACCACACCGAGCATACATATTCCGTTTTTTTCGAAAGTCGAAACAAAAAATCCCGCCCTCTTTTGCTGGCATTTGGTACATAAGTTTGTGATTATAATTGTTTATTTTCTTTGAGTTCAGTGCCAGTTTTAATGTCTGGTCTTTCTGTTTTCTCCTCTGGCTGTTTTTTTTACTCCTGGTCATTTTCTGCTGTGTTTTTTAGGTATTTTACTTGTTCATTGATCTGCATGCTTTTGTAGGAACCTTTTTTTTGCCAAAATTTGAACAGCTTATATTTGTTCCTGGGCATGTTCGTAAATGAACCTCGTGAAGTTAGTTTTACATATGAAGAATTGTTCTCCCTTGTAATAACATTAATGCGATTTTGTTCCCCTGTTTTCGCTCCAATTTATTTTTGATGGCCTAGATATTTTTAATGCTATTTTTCTCTGTCTTGTGGCTTCCCATTTCCGACTCTACTTTTGCTCTCATTAGACACAAAATGGACCAGTTCTGCTTCATTATTGATTGTATTCGATATTTTTTCTTTTTCGTTTGACTTTTTGATGCCGCTGTCTCTGCTTGTTTCACCTGGATTCATCATTTGATGTTTTGGTCTCCCACGTCTCCTTTTTTTTCCCGACCTGGTCTTGACTCTCGCTCCTTCCGTAGTACTATTTTCTTTCCACAGTTCCAGTCTGATTCCACATAGTGCCATTATTTTTTAGACAAATAAAGGGTGTCTTGTAGCCGTAGCATTTTTTTATATGTAAAAGCTTCCAGCTTTTTTTTTTTGTTTTCGGTTTTTTACGCATCACAATCATTTAGCTTTTACAGGTCTTTAGTTTCAGTATAATCTCCCGTGTGGTACAAACGCCATACCACTGTTTCATCGTAGTCTCTGTTTTTTGGCAATTGTGTGTATGTGAGAATTCGTCCTTCACGTTTTGCGTTTTTGTTCGAATGCTATATTTTCTTATCCATATGGTCTATTTCACATCTTAAGTTTATCTGGTTTTATCTTCTCTCCTTTTTTTATCTTTCAATTACTTGCAGTATTTTTAAACTGAACTTTGCCTTCCAATAGCTTCCATATCTAGGTTGATGACTTCTGAGCATTTATTCTTGGGATTTTTTCTACCGTCGATGACCTGAACCTCTGACCTTCAGTTGTCATCATGGATAACCCTAAAATATAATTGTGACCCTCCTGTTATCTCGGCTCTTCTTATTATCCCGGCTCTTGATGTTTTTACTTGCTAGTCATAGCTAGCTTTCATAATGCGGTAATAGAATACGCGTTCAATCGGTGAACTTAAAGTGCCTGCGAGACTGGCGTAACTCTTAATTTTTTTTACTAGTTCCGTGACATCGAATTGTGGGTTGGCTCTCATAACTGCTTAATAGCAAATCAGAGTTTGTATCAGTCTTACTACTAAACCGATTGATTATGATCGTCTTTGTCGGTGCAGTAAATTTGGAACTTTTTGACCCCTTTCAGCCCTTGTTTTTTAGGAATGTTCGGGAAGGCAGTTAGGGCCACTTTTGCCGTAGCGCATTTGGAGAAGCCATTTAATGCCACTAGGATCCTTATTCTACTCCTCTGGCATGGGGCTGGCAAAGTCCAGTTGAACATCCTTGGTCATGGTTAGCTGGGTGATTTCTTGTCGTTGTTGTGTTTCAACCTTCCTACCAAAGCGACCATCAGTTCCATCGGGAGCCGTATTGCTAATTTTGCCCTATTGTCATGTTTTTGTTTCCGATTCTTGTTTTTTATTTGTCTCTCTCACTCCATTTATGTTCCTTGGTTTTGGAATTGAAGTTCGAATGTCGAATTTTTCTTAGATGACTCTAGGTTTTGCCTTATATATGTCATCGCTTTAGTTTGTTTTGGTTGTTTTTTTGTTTTCTTCCTTCATCGAAAAACTCTTGTTTTTTTTTCTCTCGGCCTCACTACTCCTGCTACTAAGGATTTATGCCCGAAGTGGCAATGATGTTTTTTGCTGCTTTTGCTCTACTCCTTGCATTCTGTTGAGTCGCGTTTTCAACTACTAAAACGGCGAAAAGTAACCTCATTATTCCAAAATTTGGAAAGAGAGCATGAAAAATTCAAAGACATTTAATCCGTCTTAGAAATTGTTCCAAATTGTTTCAAAGAAGCTTATATGCCATAATTGATTTGTTAATAGTTGCAAAATTTATCATTTTGAACTTAATATGGCGTGTGGCGGGATGATTTTGTAAAAAATTTCATCTTTTTTTTATAATTTTTTTTTATTGTTCCCTCGATTCAATTTTGAATAATTTTGTTGTGCGGGATACTTTGCAACGCATAATTAATTCGCGTTGCGCTTTCAGGACTATAGCTGAAACGTTCAAAGTGCTCTTAAATTAGGCCAAATTGGCAGTTTTCAAACACCTATAACTTTGCAAAAAAGGGTCGAATCAAACTCCTAAAATTATCTTTTTAAATTTGATTTCAAGAAATTGATATCTTCAATTGGGCATAATATTTTTTAATTAGAAACTATGATCTCAATCGCCGAAAATTGACTGAATTAAAAAACCACACCGAGCATACATATTCCGTTTTTTTCGAAAGTCGAAACAAAAAATCCCGCCCTCTTTTGCTGGCATTTGGTACATAAGTTTGTGATTATAATTGTTTATTTTCTTTGAGTTCAGTGCCAGTTTTAATGTCTGGTCTTTCTGTTTTCTCCTCTGGCTGTTTTTTTACTCCTGGTCATTTTCTGCTGTGTTTTTTAGGTATTTTACTTGTTCATTGATCTGCATGCTTTTGTAGGAACCTTTTTTTTGCCAAAATTTGAACAGCTTATATTTGTTCCTGGGCATGTTCGTAAATGAACCTCGTGAAGTTAGTTTTACATATGAAGAATTGTTCTCCCTTGTAATAACATTAATGCGATTTTGTTCCCCTGTTTTCGCTCCAATTTATTTTTGATGGCCTAGATATTTTTAATGCTATTTTTCTCTGTCTTGTGGCTTCCCATTTCCGACTCTACTTTTGCTCTCATTAGACCCAAAATGGACCAGTTCTGCTTCATTATTGATTGTATTCGATATTTTTTCTTTTTCGTTTGACTTTTCCGATGATTCTCGTGATTTATTCGTTTTTACTAATTACTCATCCGCGGTTTTTATTAGACTTTCGAGTTGTGAGGATTTCTTGGACTTTATCTTCTCATGGTACCCCTAACCCGCTTTGGATTCCAGTTCTAGCAGTTCTGCATAGAATTTCTCCACTATTTGTTTTTTCATGTGTTCTACAAATAAATCTGTATCTTTCAAAAGCCGCGATTTTTTTTCCAAACAAATTAGCTTCTATTTTTTTTCACGAGCTTTTTGTATTTATAGTGCATATGTTTATGTTTGGCTTTTTTCTGTCTGAATTGCCTCTGGGTTTTTGATCCTAGACATAAAAACATTTAAATACTTGTTTTTGTGTCCGCGTCGTCTCACCTTGTTGTGCCGCTGAGTAGCCATTTTTATTCAACCCTTTTGTTTGTTCGTCTGTATATTTCAGCGTGTTTTCCGGTTTTTTTTCTGCCGCTTTTGCGTATTGTTTTCGGCCTCGATTGAGTCTTCTAGCGCTGGTGGGGTTGGTTTTATCACCATTTTGTGTCCGAGTATTCCAAAGACGTCACTAATTTGGCAAGTTTTTAGTTTTTTTATTTCTTAAAATTGTGTTTTTTTTCTAGCCAGAATGAACATTCACAACTCTAGTTAGCATGCCTGACCTTTTGAACCAAAATTTTATCAAAATTCATGCCATTCATGAACCAAACTTGAACTAGAGTTTTTTAGAATTCCCGTTGATATTCAGAAAGCTATCGTTTCTTATGTTTGCTACACTAATTTTTCCATGTGCTACTTAAAAAATTTATCGCACTGATATTTCAGAGAAGCATTAGGAGAATTGATTGATCCTTTGAACTGTATGAAAAGTAAAGCTGTAAGCAACTGCTTATAAATAAAACGTTTGGCTCTAACTTGAATACGGATGCCAAATAAAATTTAAGAATGACTTGAAAAAATATCTAATACTAAATACTCTACGTGTTTGCGTAATTATGTATTAAGTTGAACACCTTTTTTAAAAGCTATCAAATTTCGCTTTATAAATTGTCAACTGTTTATAATGAAAATTTATAGGAAGCTATGGAAAAAAAATCATTCAGCAGCATTATTTTCATTTAAGAACGTTTTGCGAACGCCCAATGTCCCACGATTTTCAACTCTGCTATGTCAAATTTCAACCCTCGTGATTCTAGAGCAAAATAGAACCAAAAATTTCGATATTGCATCCAGATGGTTCATTTTTCACTGCATTTCAACTGTCAATTTCAATAGTCGCTGTAACTTACCAACAAAAAAAGATTTGACAGCACTTGCGAAAAATTTTCCAGGAGTTTCGTTTTACGTCAAAACGTTTCCTGTACCGATCCAATTAATTAGCCTTTTCTTCTGACATTCAAGTCCGTTTTAAGTCAACTCACAGTCGCTTCATACCCAGTTTAGGGTTACTCCAAAGTATTTCAGACCTAGTTATCTAAATTTCTCCAAAGTGAAATTTCAGGACTGCAAATCCATATTCAGCTTAAGATAGAGGTGTCGCTATGTCTCGATTTAGACTAGGATTTACGACTTGAGATTCTTCTCTAAGCTCCTGTAATTGATATCTTATCGTCAAAATTCCTCAAATTCGCGGCTATATTTAGACCCTTAACTTTAATGACATGATTTAAAGCCTTATGGCTGCCCCTTTTGAAACAACTTGACTTGTTGGGTACGCAGTTTTCTCAAAAATATCTTAGCGTTGGGTTTAATACTAGTCGAGTTTATTTGTTAAGCTAGTTCATTTCACTTTGAACTACTGATCCGAAGTAATTGTCAACTTACACAATACCTGGCGTTGTTTCAGGAAGACGTTTACGATATTGCGGAATATGATCTAACCAAAGACATGCTAGAAGGTAAGAAATTTGTTCGTTAAAACCCAATTTTCAGATTTATGAAAAATTTGGCAAAATTCAAAATTTTCAAAAAACGGTATTTTTGCGTCTTTTTAGAGTTTTGACTGAGCTCGGAAAAAAGCTTTAAAAATGTACCATAAATTTTGATCACGTTTCCTTCTCGAAATCAGAACCCAGTCAACTACGTTAGTTAATGCAAAAAAATTTTGATCCCCAAATTTCATTTATGCAAGTTTTCTACGAACATGGTGCAAATAAGTTTAAATGACTCAAATCGATTCAAAAGAGCAATTTGCAATTTGCAAACGAAAACCATCGTGTTATCGCCCAACTCAAGTTTGTTCCATGACTAACCCTATGACATAGCTCGTGCAAGGACCCTTGAAGCAGGAACTGTGATTGTGTTTAGAGTGGCAAGAGGCCTTCTGGCTGTTCGACCGAGACGGGGATGGGTCCATCACGGCCAAGGAGATCGGGGCAGTGATGCGGAATCTGGGCCAGAACCCCACGGACGAGGAGGTCAGGGACCTCATGCACGAAGTGGACATCGACGGTGAGGCAATTTCGAACCATGTGAACGATCCCCCCTTCCAGATTCATTAAGGGGGGGGGGCTGAGATAAAGTTCACTTGGCTGCTATATTATTAGTTCTCTTTTATGATTATTAACTCTTTTTTTTTGGGGGGGGGGGGGGGTATTTTACATGCTCGATGTGGGGTGGGGATAGATGTAGTGTTTTCTGTTGTGAAGTTTTGGCATATTTTGAGTAACGTTAATTTGATGCGTCATGTATTATGCGCAAGATCTAAAAGCTCGATCTTTCGAACCAATTGAAAAGGTTTTAATGATAAAAAAACTTATGAAATAATTTAAAAAAAAACGATTTAGCAGACAGATTAAGCTTATGACTAAGAAGCTGGTTTTTCTGATGGTTGTTGTTTACTAACTAAGACGGTGTCCATATTACATGCATAGATATGTAAATATTACTAAGTAGTTATTCTATTTAGAAAACCCACTGGTTTCAGTGGGTTCGGAAAAAGAGTTTAAACTCAAGTTGACCCCAAGCCCGGAATTCTTTAGTATGTAAATCGTAAATTACTAGAAGTTATGTACTACAACTATTTGGTACTAAAGCAAAAAGAAAACTTATTTAGGTAAATCAATGCATAAAGTTTGTAAGTTTTTTAAGTCTGTAAGTTGTACATTCTGCATTATTGCCTCTCCATGAATCAAAAAGGACGATTGATACTGCTTTCGTTTTTACAACACTGGGATTTTTGAAGATGTCGGATAATTGTTTGATTTGAAGTATTTCCAGGAACGGTTTTATAGTAGAGCAACTCTCAAACAGATGGGTACAGTTCTCAAACTCATACATACAGAAAGCACATAATGGATCGGGCTTTAAATTTCTATTCCATAGGACGTCTTTATCTGGAAGGCAATTGAAGAGCAGACGGTAGAACAAATTTTTTTCAAAGCTGGTTAACCTTGGTTGTCTCCACAACCATGGCGAAACTTTACTGAATTCAGTTGGGTTCAAGTTGAACTTCGTGCAGCTTTTTTCAATTCTTTTTTTCCAACTATTTTCAAAGTGAAAGTTTTCCACGCATGCTCCATATATTTGGGAGTATTTTGTTTTCGCAAGGATGCTCATCATCCAACCTCGGGAATTTATTATCTCAATGCTTTCGTCATTTAATGAGTTGATACTGAGTTCAGAGTTTTCTAGATCTCCATCTAGTTCTCTGTAAAACCTGCTCGTTGGATTATTCCAGTTTTCCATTAAGAGATGTTTCTGCAGTGGTCCGAAGCTGAAGTAGGCATTTTGAAAATCTTGGATTTTGGCAGCTAAAAGATGGGCCTGCAGGCTGGGAAGTTTCACTCCTCCTTTGAGCATGTCTCGTTCAAGGAATTGCAAAGCTATTTCACATCTCCTGCCAGCTCCCCAAACAATTTTTCTGGTTACTTCCTTGTACATTTTGAGAACATCTATTGAAATTAGATTGTGTCTTCCGATATGAGTTATTTGTGGTATCACAAAAGTGGAGACCGCAATAGATTTTGCTCTGTAACTCATGTATCGATTGAATCTGATCTTGTTGTTTTTAAGTCTTTTCAGAATTTCCTCATTATTTGATATTCTTGAGAGCTCTGGGTCTCCTAGCACTACTCCGAGTACTTTTGCTGTTCTAACAGTTTCCATATTTGGGTGATCGTACAGGCTTAAGGATTTTGATTTACTTCGATTAACTCGAGACTGGGTGCCTTTGCAGAAATCATCAAGTATTTTGTGCAGATGTTGAACCTCGTCAGCGCGAGTGAAAACTGTTAGGTCGTCAGCATACGCAACACTTCGTGTTTCAAGTTTACTAAAATAAGTTGATTCTCGTATTTGATTTAACAGTGGCTCGAGAGCTAAGATAAAAAGCAGAGCTGATAATGGGCATCCTTGTCGGACTCCTCGTTTCTGTTTGATTTCTCTTGAATTAAACCCATTTATTGCAACTGATGACTTAGAGTTGCAGTACAAGCTTTCTATTAGTGATATCAATTGGCTTGGGCAGCCAATTTTTCGTAGAATTTGGAACATATATTTCCGATCGACCCTATCAAAAGCTTTAGAAAAGTCGATTGTTGAAGCTACCACTTTGGGTTTTGATTTGCGGAGTCTTAATCGGATTTCAAGGATGGCTTGATGTATGGATCTATTGGGCAAATATGCATGTTGCTCGTTCTCAATCACTTCACTTAAAACTGGCTTAAGCCTTCCAGCTATTACATGTGACAGGATTTTCTGGTCTGTGTTTATCAAGCTGATCGGCCTATAGTCATTCGGCAGAAGACTCTCAGTTTCTTTCGGCAACAGTTTGATTATGGCTTTGTTGAAGGACTTCGGCATTTTAGCAAAACTAAAAGCAGATTGAAACAATGGTAAAAGTATATTGGCAAAAGAGAAGGCATGTTGTTGATATAATTCAGATGTAAGTCCGTCAGGACCTGGGCTCGTTCCTTTTTTTAGTTTACTTATTGCCATTTCAATTTCTTCCATTTGAAGTGGAGCATCAAGACTTTCGATGCTCTTGTCCGACAATTTTTTGTGAAAACTATTGAGAATCTCATACCGATCTATGTCCATCACTTGCTCTTCTTTATAGAGGTTTTCGTAGAACGATGTTGTTTCTTCCAATATCCGCTGTGTTTTAGTTGTAATATCCCCAGTTTGAAGTTTCATTTTTCTGATGACTGTTTTAGGTTGCTGTTGCCTAGCCCATCTTTTAATTTCTTTGGGGTTGCCGTCCTGAAGCTCTTTGACATTATTTTGAATACACGTCAAAATTTGTCGACACTCTTCTTGTTCTATTTTTCGCAGTTGACATTCGAGTTCAACTCTTTTTTGATTGCTTATATTCAAATGTTCAATTTGGGATTCTAACATTTGTTTGTATTTTGTTTCTAGTCTGATTTTCTGTATTGAGATGTTGCGTAGGAACTCACGTAATTCTTGCTTACTTACATCATAGTTTTCAATTGACCAATTTTCAAGACGTTTTTCTATTGTTTTTTTGTTATTTGGCAGAATGTTGTTATTCAATCTCCAGATACCTGGACCCATGTCCATTTGAGGTTCTTGAAAAGTTTGGTAACATAAGATCTGGTGGTCACTCAAGGTTGTTTCGTACATTTGGAATGTATCATCCGCCGTGAGAGTATTCGAAAAAATAAAGTCTATTCGGGTGCGTGTTCCAGTTCTGGAGCATTTATGTGTAACTTTATCTTTTTCTAGCTCAACTGCTGTGTCTTTAAGGCAATGTCTGTTCAAAATGGGTTCTACTCTTTTGAATATGGTAACATGTTTTTTCTTGAATACCTTTGCAGTCGAGACTATTTGTGCTTGATGATCTCTCTTGTGATTCGGGAAAGAATTCAAGTCTCCAACAAGAATAAGTGTGTCTGACTCATTTATATCATTTAATTCTGTCATCGCTTCCGATATTAGTTGGCAACTTTTGACATAATTTGCTGTTCTGACATACGCATTCACTACATATGTTCGTTGCTGGGGAAAATGAATTAGCTGGGACGCCCTGTTTTCTGCGATAACGGTTGCTTTCATAGACTTTGGCCAGAGTGTAAGTAGTCCTCCACTACGACCAATTGATGATGTATGAGCAGACTGAAGTTTGTAGTACTCTAGAGTTGTTCTCAACTTATGACTGATATCCGTAGTTTGGGTTTCTTGTAAACAAATTATGAAGTTTGGGTCATAGTTGAGATGGGTTACTTTATTCATTATGTGAATAAGTTTTTCGGGACAATCAAGCCCTCGGCAATTCCAGGTTAGGACTTTCATTGACTTCTTTCGACAGTTCCGACTCGCTATTCAAGCCTTTTTCGTCGGATGATTTGACCGTTTTTTGTCTGATACGACTTCTCGTGATTGTTCCCAGAGACTCAAACTGGGTTTCATTTTCGTTGCTGTAGTTATTTGGTTTGGTTTCAGTTTGGGGGAGTTTCTGCTTTCTCAGCTCGTATGCTCTTCGATTTACATTTCTTTTCACCACTTGCGAGAAATTGGTATTGGTATCGTAGCTGATTTCGCCGTCTGATTGTACTTCTTGGCTGACTTCTTTTTCGGATTGCTTTGGTTTCTTTTCATGATATTCGCTTTCTTTGCTTTTCATTAGGCGTTGATCAGACGGTTCTTTCTGATTATTTTTTGACGACCGAAACTTTTGGTAGCAATAGCTTACGTGATGGCCTTTGGCCCTTCTACCGGCTTTTTCACAGTGTTCGCAGATTAACAATGAGGGGATGTTGCAGAAAAACTGCGTTCCAAATAGTTCAAAGGTCTGCACACAACTTGTTTCGGCCCATGAGGATAATAGTTCTTCTTGTTTTTCGTCTTCGATAAGCATACGACATGATGCTCTTCCGGTGTATACACAGCCACCGTCTTCATCGTTCGTTGCAATCGTCTCTTTCTGGATCATAGTGGTTTGTTTCATCATATCTGGAAGTTTCACTGCTTGCAACACATCTTCGTCATCGAAGAAATGCGCTAGGTTTCTGAAATACATGTTGACTTCTTTAGGGTAAGCATCTATGACGCGTTCTTTAGGTCCCCAAGCAACTATATGCTTGTCTCTGATGTTTATTCCATTCAGCTTAAGTGCTTGTACTTCGTTGTATATCGATTGGGGGGCAAGCACTCGAACCGCTCTGAGTTTCTTGCCATCTTTTTTCGGAATTGTGGTTTTCAGAATGGTAAGATTGTTTCGACATTCGCGCGGGAGGCCTTTACGAATATTTGATACAGCTTCGGCAAATAGTTCTTCTTGTTTTGCTTCGTTCTCGAATATTTCTTTGGTAAAAGGTAAAACAAAATCGACAGTAATCGGATTTTTGTTTTGGTTGTTTCCTAAGTTTTGGACTGGTCCTGGTCTCGAAACCAAGCTTTCCGTAAGTTTTTGGGCAAAAGTTGGCTCTGGGGTACTAATTTCCCCTTCAATTATCAATTCAGTTGTCGATTCGGACATTTTTTCTACG